CCTGCTGAAGTCACCAAGAATGTTTTTTCCTGGACTTCAGTGGGCTAAGGATCGTTAACGAATGGTGAGAAGGCCTCACTTCAGATTAAGCCGGTCTGTGTGACTTACAGGACAAAGAACTGCAAGGGATCTCATGGTCCATCCAGTTGAATCCCCTGCTATCTCAACAAGTGTTACGATATACGCTTTTCATAATTTGAATTTAACTAACACCTTACAACCACACATTCCTCCTTCCTGAGCATGAATGTCTGGACCTGTATACCAGAGGAGGGCAGGGTAAGCAAGGAAAGGAAGGCTGTGGTTCTAAGTTGGTGCTGCTGGGTTCCACCTTCCTCCCCACTCTTCACATATTCACATGTCCCCCTTTGCACTGGTGCTTGTCTGATCCTTCTCTGGTGTTTAGAAAGCTAATGCAGCTCCTACTCCTTCCTCCCTTTCCCTCTCTCCCCTCCAAAAAGGAATCATTTTCTGCTGCTTTTAAGGCTCTGACCAGTTCACCACAGAATCAGATGAGTGCCCAAGCAGTTGGGAAAGACTGGCTTAAACTGTTGTAGAACTACAGCCCAACAAAAAATGAAGCAAAGCCCTTTTCATACCTGCCACCCTGCATAGGTGTCATCTGTCCATGAGGTGTTGATGCTGGTGTTGGGGGCTTCAAATCGCCTGGCACTTCTGTCATGGAATTACTACCAGTAGACTGTGGAGTCTGAGGACCTTGCAAGGAACCAGAATTAGCTGGGAAATTAAAGCAAAAGGAAATATTAAAAGGTAGCAGCCAAATTCCTGTGGAAATAATAATCATCAAGGAGAGAAACTGGTTCTTTCCCCTGTAAGACTGCTTATACCATGCATCTCAGTATTTTGTAACTGCCCCAAAATCCTCTGAGATCAGGATATGCTGTGCAGTAATAGCCATCATCTTTCCTAGAACCATGAGTTTAATCTGCTGCCTGAAGCAACATGAATAGAAATCATCTAGATGAAGGATCATTTAAATCGGAGGTCAGAGATACAAAGTTAATTGTCTATAGTTTACAACAGAGTAAATGAAGGTTGTTCTTTGGCACAGCTTCTTCACATAATCACTATCACAACACATACATTTATAAGGCAAATTTCAGCCAGAAGCTTTTCCTCAGAGATTTAAACTGCTATATTAATATAAATTCATAATTTCATTTACCACTAAAAGGCAGACATTTCCATGGTGAAACATGGCAAATGATTAGTGGCACACTGCAATCCTATGCCATCTTTGAGACAGCATGGCGAAAGATTGTATTTAAGAAATGCAAAAGGCAATCTGGGATAAGAAGAAAGCGATCACTGAAAGTAGAATTTGAACAGGAGACTATAGCTAACACTCCTAATAAAATTGTAAAAATAGCAATGGACATCTTAACAAAATGTAGTTAGGGTCATTCTAGAGCACATATAACAGACCAGTACCTGCGACAGAGTACCTGCACTATTGTCCTCCTTAACCGTGGTAAATAGCTATATTCTTGATACGACAAGCATAGAAAAGCATGTACTGTTCTATTCCGATGAAACTGAGCAGTACTAAGGGCATTAAATGAATACGTCATGTAAGCTAATGATAAAATATATCCAGACCAGTCTTTTTAAGTAGACACTGAAGTTACTATTTTCATATGACTACCGAGGAGAAACACGCCCCAATCCCAAAGATCTGACGCAGTAGTTTTCTGATTTAGAAGGTGGAGTGGGAATTAGTAACAATATCTAAGCCTTGGAGCTGACTGGCCTTGCAGCAGAAATTCTACCCGAGGAGAACTTGTAGGATTCAAATCTTTACATGCAATTGGGAAAAAAAATTACCAACAGAAAAAATTCACAAATCTAATAGACTCAGAAAGACATGGCTTTGGCTTCAGAGGTCCTTCTTTTTTTTGAACTGTCATGTAAGCATTTTGTAGTGCCTGACTACGTTCAACAACCAATTAACAAAACTTTTAAAATTACTGTTAGAGGCAAAATTGGAACAAGCAGTATGGGCTTTTCTTCTGTATGTGAAAGAGAGAGTAGTTTATAATTGACTCAGAATCCTAGAACACTCATCATCTTGACAGGCAGAGCTTGTTTTTAACTGAAGAACACCTTTTTTATATGTGTTTCATTTATATCTGTAACACATGTTCCACTATCTGGAGATCAGTCTCGGTAGCAAGTGCATATGTAGAATCCACATTGTGTAGACCACATTGTTCTTGTCCTCAGCTTTCTGAGGCATGTTTGGATTATGTTCACATAGTAATAAGGTTCAAAAAAAGTTTAAAAAAAGCTCTCTGATTGCATTAATACAGTAACAACAACATTTGCAACAACTAATGCTACAGTTTACTAAAGGCTTTAGTGCTATAATAAAACAAATCCATATGATAATAAAAAAATCATCACGTTCACATAAAAAGAGCCCTTTGTATATAATGACCCCTGAGTGCGCCAGGATCATCCTCCTGCCCTTGAGCTTTAGACACAATGCTAGATTACTTCTAAAAAGCTTGAAAGCACTTCTGAGTTAAGCCGCACATTGTCACATACCATCTTGTTATATTAGAACCATGTCAGTAAACATCTCTTTACTTACTGTAAAACACGATATTGCCTAACCCTGCATATTTCTCTTACGGTGGGCTATTAAGCAGCAATTAAGTTCTTCCCTATCCTACCTGAGCAAGAACTTAATTCATATATAAGTAAGCCTAAAGAAAACAAGTAGAATATTTTTTTCAGTATTTATGGGCTGCATGGATAAAGAATCTTTATTATGAACAACAATGTTTTTTATGTAATCATCTTAGATAAGGAAAGGTTTAAAAGCAAAAAGAAGACATCCAACTGAGAAGCTACAAGCCAAATTTCTATCTGCTGGGTGGTGGTTATAGGGCTGGTTATTCTTCCCCCGCCTCTTTCTAAGTGACTGCTTACGAACAGCTGAAAAAATGGAAGGCAAATGCTGTCTTGAGAAGTGCAAAGTTTCTGGTACTGCTTTGTTAATACGCTTTGCTCTTGACCTCCATTGGGTCAGGGACACTTCTACAGAATAGGGACTGCAAGTGTTTCAATCTCTGGATTAGGTCATCAGCTACCAAAAAGAGCCCAAGTGTGGATATGACCTACAAGCAACTGCGAAGACAATCATTTCTATGTCATACACTCACAGGCCGCTGAATAGTTCATCTATATTTTGCTAATAGCATCAATGTAAATAGCACATTCCTTGAGAAAGAAAAGAAAGATAAGTATGTACTCTTAATGGTTACTGTTGGTAGAGCAGGTACAAATTTTTAAGCAACTTAACTTTTTCTTTTAGGATGTGACTTTCAGTAACTTTGCCAAGCTTCAGCCAATCATCAGGAAGTCATCCTGATGGATATTCCCGTCAAGCTAATTTTGTTTTGGAAATTTTCATCTGTAATTGGCCAACTGTTTTTAAGAATATGCCTTTGAAAATATATGGTCCTCTTCTGTCGTCCCCAAAAGAGAAATATTTCTGTGGGTCTTGGAAGCCAAATACATATTTGGTCACCTTTTTCACACACAGCACCAGTGGGCCCTTCATTGTTTGAAGAAGAGACTTGGTGCTAATGTTGGGGACGTGCCCGTGACAGGGAAATACTCTTACTGTTCCAGTGTTTATTCTCATTTGGCCAAATAAATTTGTCAAAAATACCTGCTAATATGTAGAGATTATTAGCTTGCTATACATTCACTGCCTGGTTTTCTGAAGATCCTGTTTGCACTTATTTCAGGCTGGGGGTGAGCAGGACTCTCACTGCAACTCAGCTCCTGGGTTGATCTGGGCAGTCTTGAATGTGGAGCTGAGCATGAGAACCTATAGCCAGGAAGCCGCCCCACACAAACTCTCAGGGTTACAACTGGAGGTTGGCAAGCAAAGGCAAGGTAATAGGATTTTTGACCATCAACAGAAAAGGAGAATAGAAGGAGACTGACAAGGGGACTGGGAACCTGGAAAGGAGATACAGATGCTGCTGAGATCAGATTAGAATATGAGAAGTCTGAAGTTGCATGGACATGGTACTACGCAACAGGGAACACCAAGAAAGCCCAGAAAATGTACCTAATGAGAGTTAAAGTACAGGGAAAGAACCATGGTTGGCTGGTTAAAGAGACATAAGAGTTCAATACTGGGAAAAGTCCAATACTGGGCATATGACTGAAATTAAATTTTGCACTAGAGGTTCTTAGATGTGTGCTCCTTTTCTCAGAGAGTCTGTTTAGAGATGCTGTTTTCCAGCTGTGCAGATCCATGCAGGGCAACAGATGAGATCATATAAAGAGCTACGCATGGCAAAACTTGTAAAACTAGCACCCAGAATTAGCAGATACTCATGTTGTAGATTTTTTGGTAGCCCAGTTCCTCTTCTGTAGAATGGGAATCATACTGCTTTCCCTCTCAGATGGGTATTGCAAATGCTGATTAATACTTTTTAAAGCCCTCAAATACAGTTGTAGTGAAGATGAGAAAAACCAAAGAGTAAATTTATAACTCTCAAATGTTTGAGTCTGGTTGAAAACTGTGGCACAAGCAAGGGCTGTGTACTGAACAGTGAGGATAACACAAAATACTGAATAGCTCCTCATTCACCGAGCACTGTTTATTCCATGCACTGAATGACACAGACATTTCATGGAAAAAATTTCAATGTGACTGCGTAATTAAGAGTGTATTGAACGGTATATGCACAAGGAAACATAATTAAGATTGCAAAGATTGCATCTCACTTTTGGCATTTCCTAACCTTTGAGCACTTGACTTTGCATCACAGCAATACACTTCAAACAGCTGTTGGATAGAGCATGCGCACACAGGCGCCTGCATGCACACAGGTTAAATGCAAACTCGTTACCTTCTCTCACACATAGATTTTACACACATTGCTATTCGCAATGTTTTCTAATTAAAGAATATGAAAACAAGCCTCTTCTCTGTAAGAAAGTACCATATTCCTTTTTCATGTTTCACCTTAAATTTTACATCTGCTAAGCTGCTCTCTGAAATTTTTACATCTATCCTTGCAGGGCTCTTATTATGGTAGATGTTTAATTTTGATTGTGGACATCCTGAAATAGAAACTGTATCTTTTAAAGCGCTTCATAAGCTTCAGTATTAAACAAAGAACTAAGAAGGAAGACAAACAACAATGTTCTTTTAGAATAGGTAATCTCTGCTTACACGATTCTGCAGCTGACTTGGGGATGTCCAGGAAAAAACCTGTGTATACACAGCTACTGAATTCTTCATCTCACATCCACGTCTAAGCAACACTTGTCTTTCAAGTGTCATAACAGATTTGTAAGAATATGCTTTTAACAATAGAAAATCCATCCAAAATGAAATAAAATGAACATATTTGTCAGTGAGAAGGTGAAGTCCTAAAACTCTTCCACAGTTCACTCAACAGCATGCGTTATTCTTGGCAGCATGGAATTACAGCACCAGCATGGCTTTTTCCTTGCAAAGCCTGCATGGCGTAAGTACTGCTTTCAGGAAAGACCCTTTATTTACCAGAACAGAAATATGCAGTTAAAAAAAAAAAAAGAAATCTTGCTCTTGCCAGCAATTTTTTCCCTTCAGAAAAAAAAAAAAAAAGAAGAAAGCAACCTCTTGAAACTCCATTAATATGAGGCCTGACATGCTCTCTAGGATATCCCTACCTTTTGCCAGAAGCTACAAATGTATACTCTAAAGTAAACAATGGAAAGGTTACTGAAGGTTAAGTACATTCACATACTTCAGAGCGAACAGCCAGCCACCACGCTGGGAAGATAATTTACACAGCACGAACCCAGTGCTCCAGTTAGGCCGGGCTGGGGGCCGCTGGCTGTGGCAGGGCCCCCCCGGGCAGGCGCGGGTGCAAGCATGGGGGCACCTCTGCCTGTCCCCCCGTCCACCCCTCCCGACTCCTCGCCCATCCATCTTCCGTGGGATTCCCTGGCTGGCCTCATGACACGCTCCATGACATCACCTGCCTGCTAATAATAGCACTTCAGTCAGCCACCCGCCAGCAGAGACGGATGGGTTTGGTTACAGACGCACTCACTGAATGGCTGTGGCGTGTGGTGTTGTGTCGCGTCCCCCCCGCCATCCCCCTCCCCAAGTCTTGTTTCTCTGCTGCCAAGGAAACGCAGGGAACACGCTCTTGGCGTGCTCTGCTCCCTCTTGCCAACACAGGCGCACAATTTTCCACGTTTGCTGTCATGAAATCTCCGCTGACATCAGGGCCAGCTGCTGAGTGTTACTCAGGAGCATCCTCAGCTGTACCACTGTGGCCATCCTGTTCATTCAGCGTAGGGTAAACGGCTCAGTCTGGAATTTTGAGAGTCAGGCATACAAAACCGCATACTGCAGCTAAGAATTTACAGTGCCAGAGTACAGCAATGGAAAATAACTCCTTCATGCTGATGCTTTTTTGAAATTTGTTCTCCAGCACCCATTAGTGCTTAGCAAAATGGCCCCCAGAATTATTCTCAGTTCAGAACTTGCCACATAATTTATGCATATTTTGGTCAAAACTATCAAACACGCATGACGGGAAGAGCATTTTCTCTTTGCACCCACTTCTGGAACGCACTGGAGTTCCAGAAGGATGCTTACAAAGACCTACGATGCCTCTCTCTCTCTCTCTAAGGCATTTTCTGCACAGCAAAAGAGCAGTCAACAGCTGACGTGGCCCTTGGCACGGACCCAACAATCAGGACATAAGGCCGACAGGGGTCCTCTAATAGCTAGCCTGTCATTAGGCATCTGCTGCTGGTCTTCACTGCTGACAGCGTTATCTGACCCAGACAGATTTAAGCTGTGATAGAAAGGCCTCAGCCCACCACAAGCACGTCTCCAACTTGCACAGCCTCAGAGCAGTGCAAGCCATGCTAAACCACATTCAGGCCCCCACCTCTCCCTGTGAGTTTTACGGAAGACCAGAAGAGGCTCTGACAGTAGTATGAAGCCAGAACATTTACTAAAATAGGCAGGTAATCCTACCCCAACGCCTTGGCTACTGTGCAAACCTCTGCCCAACAAAGCCAACCAGCCTGTCACTTTGCCGCTCTACCCTCGCTCCTTTTTTCAACCTTTTATAATTGCTGACACTATCCTGAATTGCACTGTACATAGCACTAAATTAGTCACTCCTTTACATACCATTTACCCTATTAATGATGTTGTAAAAAACAGAAGCGATGGGAGAATCCCAAATACAGTGCTAGAAGTAAATGGACTAACACATGGACCCAGACCACTGCCTTGCAGTCCCATAAATTTGACTTACACATCGCATCCTTTCCCTGACCGGGTTCTTGTCTGGCAATCCCCTCGCTACGGTGGTTGCGCTGTGTTTCCTAGTGTTCCCTCTAGGAGCGCATTCGGAAGGTCGTCTGTGGGGCAGTCACATAATCACCCCTTGGATGCGGGACACCTGCAACAACTGACCTGCTCTGAACTGTGTGTCTCTCTGCTCCCACCTTGCGTAACATGTACCTGGGAACTACATCTACATAGGAACTGAATTCTTCTCTGGACCAAGAAGGCTGCCAGTCCCTATATATTCTTATAAATATTCCCTATATATTCTTATGAGCAATTGAAATATTTAGTTTGAAAAGTTTTATGAAGCTGAGCTGATGTTTACACTCTCATGACCCTGATTTCATAGCATCAGCTGGTTAGAATTGGACGAAATACAACACCCTCCCCTCTGAGACAAGTCCCCTTGCTTTTTTATCAGAATTAACTTCAGCCCTAATACTGTAACTAGCTCTCTGCAAGTGGATTTGGCTTCAAAGTGGCTCTGCCTACACTGAGCTAACTGCACAACAGAGGCTAATGGTTAAAGCAAGGACCTTTGGAGACTATTGTTTCTTGTTGTATTGGGCTCCTGTCCCCTCTGAATGCCAAAGAGTAACAGATTATCTAAAGTACATCTACAAGTCTACTTCTTTTGTGCAGTTAAAATGTTAATGTTGGTATATGCTAAAGGAAAAGGAGGAGGAAAAAAAGCTGACTATTAAAGAGAACAGGCTTGTACTCTCTGCAGCATCTATACCTCAGCGGGATTTCATGTACTAAAGCTGATACACACTGGGAAAGCCTTTCTCCGTACAGAAGTGCAGTCCATTCAGTGACACGAGCGCTTTTCTCGCCAACAAAACAAACCTTGAGATCTTTGCTTGCTTCCCCCTCTTCTAGTCTCTATGTCCTGCTGTGTTTTTATTTTAGAAAAATAGTTTCAGTTCTCCTCATAGACAGCTTGCTCGAATGTTACGATAAATTTAAACTTGGACTTTGCCATTTTCATCTGTAGAGCCATGATGCAAAAGGACCACGTAAAAGTGGTACATCTGACATTTCTATTCCTTTGTTTCAGGCTTATGTATTTAAATAACGATTCTTCACCGCAAAATTCAGCCAATTGACAGTGATCATCCCTGAACCAACCACTGGGAGCAGTGTTGGAGGGAGAGGGGTAAGGGAGGAGAGAGCAAAGCAAAATACTTTCATTTTTAGTAGTGCTGTTTAGTTTTAGAAAGAGATGAATTTCCTCTTCACCCTCCTTAACAAGTCTAACAGTTTCAGCTCCCTTTACCAGCCTTCTCAGGACGTGACAGGCACGTCCAACATCTTTTATTTTTTGCAGCGATGCACATTCAGGACACTCTGTGCTCATTTCAGACAGATAAACATTGGGACTATGGGCTTCACTTCTAGTACCAAATATTTTTCCCCATCTTCTAAACTTGCCTTGCAAAGTAACCTACTTATCTTCTCTATTAAATAATCAGCATTGGGGTACTTGATAACCCTAGGTGTTAACAAGGTGGAGGAAATATTTCAGTTATTACACAGAGATGCATCTAGGAAGATTTTTACTAAACACTCCCCAAAATCCTTACACGGAATACATCAGGCTGAAAAAGATTTAAGCCTTATTGCCTTTATCTTTTTCTGTACTGACAAAGTGCTATCATAACAAATGATCTTCTAAAAGCTAGAACTGTATTATATGATTATAAAGGTCTTTGCAATTTTCTGATATCCCCAATAGGAATTCTGAAACTGGAGCCACGCAGCCTGCAAACTGCCTGGAGAGCTTGCTGGGTGCCTGACTCACTGCTTCCCATTTTCAGCCAGTGAACTGCACTAACAGAAATTAAGGTATTTAATACTTTCTTAATACTTTAATACTGCCTTCTAATGCAGGAAACTGCTGTAAACATTCCAGGTATTATATTCTCTTGGCAATAAAAGAAGGTGGTCTGCCTAACAGTAATTGCAAAGGTAGGTATTAACAAAATTATTTTGTTGGTCAGAAAAGCCTAATAACGAGCAAATCAAAGGAAATATTTCCTCTTCCATGGGTAGTCCAGAAGTCAATGTCATAGACTAATACTACACCTTTTCTTATGTACTTAAAATGTTACGACTGAAGCATTTTCCTGCCTTGAATGTCACTCATGACTGTCCAGTCTTGGGAGTCTTAAGCTGAATTAGTTTAGAAAGAAAACACCGTGGTTTCAAGCAGCACACTGTACATGCAAAAAGAACAGCCAAAATCAAGCATTTCCAGTTCCAATTTTTCAGACGAGAAGATAAAGACAGTGATGCTAACGACTTATCTGACATACAGGATTAGCAACAAAAGAACAGAGAGTGTGCCTCCAAACTACGAGGTCTGTCAGTGGGGATACACCATGCTCTCAACTCCCTCCATCTGCCACACATTCAACACGAGCTGTATCAGAGCAACCCTCTGAGACCCAGTGATCAGTCCAGCATCTGCCATCCCAACTCCAACTGAAGCTTTACTGACCAATAGTTGTGTTGAAAATGCAGCTGCAGAGTCATAGCAAGGAAAGTGCAAGTACCAGAATCTGACTTTTAGACAAATGGGTGCTCCTTTTAGTACTGGCTGCCTCGTGTCTTACAGCGCAAGCACATCTGTGCAGAATGCTATTCTTTTCACTATGCCAATGTAATTCTGAATATTAAGGGTATGCTGGCGCACACGTTTTTATATGTTAGAGTGAACAATGACAAACTAGACACATGACTGCGGATGGCCCTTCAGAGTTAAATCTGACCCGACTCGGGAGCTAGCTCCAAGTTTGAAAACAAGAAGCCAACAACATATTTATTTTCGTTGTTTGTCCAGCATTAGCAAGACATGCTTCTAAACTGCAACCCTGTGAGTATCTTTTGCATTCGAAAAATGGTTGTGTAAGAGGCTGCAGTTTTTTTGACTTACCAGGAGATGGCGGCTGAATCTTAGGTTGTTTCTTAGTATCTCCAGTGCTGAAGACTTCTGGAGGGGGCTCCTCCCCTCGCTCAATCTTGCACTCGAAGGCAAACAGGTACTGAATGTATTGTTTTTTCAGGGAGCTGGCTGCGCTGCTTGAAGTGCCAACGTTCAAGGTGGTTGCCAGCTCACGCCACTTCTTGTTTTTATTAACCTAGCAAAATAAATGGCAGAATCATTGGTTTGCAGCAAAGTGGTTTGTTTAAGTCAGGAGACAAACCAGAGGAAAAAAAAAAAGGAAAAAAAAAAAAGCACTTAATGTCCTGGTTTGCTTTTTTTATTTTCCTCTTTTAACTAATGCTCATTACTCCCACACGCAGTAATGCATAGACAGCATTTACAGTTATAAAACCATTAAGGAACCTGCTGATAGCTACATAAAAAGCTTTGCTTGTGCAGAGTCTTCTGCATGGTGCATCTTTTAAATGCCTTGCACTCTTCCAGGGCCTATGCTCTTCAGTTAGCAATCCATCTCCAAGCAAATGCACGCTCATTCTCCCTCTCTCTGACACCCACCCACACCCACGCCATTCTAATTAAAAAGCAGCTTCGAAAAACTAATTTAGAAAGCAATAACAGCATTATTCTGCAATTTAAGTGTTTGAGCATTGATATGAAAAATAGATTTTTCTCCAAAATAGCCACCAGCTGTCTAACAGTTCAGCCTGTAATTCCTGGTTCAAGTCCTTTCACTTTAGGGCATCTTGCAGGGACAGATCACCGAGCCTTTGGCTAGATGAGAGGCAAAGTGAAGCGAGGCCCTTTAATTAATTAAGGCAGACTTCAAACACACAGGGCGAGTCCAGCAATACTCTGTATTACAGTGCTGACTGCACAACTCTGCTGCGGGTCTTGTTTACAGTGTAAGGCTGAGAATATTGAAAGACTCTGTTCATGAGTTCCTCAAACACAGCTGATCTGTAATAACACTGAAGTTCGTTTGTCATCCTGGATGATGCCACTGGCTCGCTCGGCTGTACCACTCAAAGCAGCCAGTATTTTTGCTGCAATACCTGACGCCCCAGAGTTCATTCAACCACTTGTGCAATTGCTAGGTATGATCCAAGGAGGGGAGGCAGCACTGAAATAAATGGGCTTTAAATGTCTGAGCATCTCAGCTTTTGTTGGGGAAGAATCTCGATTCCTGCATGCCATCATGACTTGCTACTTGCCCCGAGGCCTGAGATTTTAATGACTCCAACTTAACTTGTATAGCTACAAAGGTTATCATCAGCCACACTGTTCCTAAGCCTGCATGCCAGCAAAGGAAACATTTCTTACATTTCTCTCAGTGTGTAGTAACACTGAAACTGCTGCCAGTCAGCCAAGATCTTTTGGGGGTAGCATTAATAGCAAGCAGGCTGGCATGGGTATGCAAAGTGTTTTTATTTCTCTGATACATCCTGCAAGAACCCAGGAGTTAAAGATGAGATTTTCATAAACTGCCCCTCTGTTGAGGCTTCAAATCCAGCTACACAGCCCTTTGTACCTACTGACTTACAGCTAAGTGGTGCATAACGAAGACACTGCATAATGCAAACAGAAAGATTCATGCCTAAATGCCCAGTATATTGGCATTTAAAAGAAGACTGCCAACAGCTGGTCCGTTCATGTTGGGACCCCATCAATTGCAAGTATTCAGACAGAGAATATGCAGCGCTGCTGCACAGCTCCATCCCCTGTCACTCCCCGGACAGAATCATGAGATGCGGAGTGCAGCAGTTGGAGCAACAGCTTTTTAAGAGAGCATCACGCAGATGCATTCAAATAAACCTCGGCATGCAAAGCTCTGCACCTCTCAGTAGCCCCAGACAAATAAGCATGGTGATTATTCATGTGGGCACACCAGCAAAACCAGGAGCCTTTATTTTCAGTCTCAATTTTTACCAGTACTGAAGCACACACATTTGTAACTCAAGCTCTTTCAAAAATCTGTCTAAGTGAACAGCATCTATTCTTTGGCAATGCATAACGTCTGTCACTGCAAATCAACACTGAGTGTCCCAAAAGAAAATAAATTTCCATAATAAGCAAACCTGAATGACTCTCTAGAATACCCCATCTGCCCCCCATCTTGCTTAATTTTTGATGCTAAGAGTCATACTATGGACACAATCCCGCTGTATGAGGCAGAGCAGCTGCATGATACGATTTACCTGTAATAAAGTTTCTGAGCTAAAGTAATCAAATCTTTATGATGCTGGGGGGCACGAGCTGATCACTGAAAGTGTCAGGATAACATCTCTTACCCATATACAGCATTTAACAACTGGCAAGGTGAACTGTATTAGCTTTCTCTGCCTTCCTTTAATAACAGGAATAGCTAAAATCTCTGGACTTGAAGGGCCAATGATCTAATTCAGTAGTCAAATCCTATGTTGTGAGGTGTACTATTCAATATAGACTATAGAGCATTGAAAATGGTACTATGATGTTGGACATTTCTTTCTTGAACTAACCACTTATATTATTAAAACTGTGCTCTCTTTCTGAGGATCTAATTTGTTTGTCATATTTTTGAGTTCGGATTTTGTAATTAGTGTAAAATTGTATCTATTTGAATATTAAGTATTACCTATTTTATATTAAATACTGCATATACAGATTTATCTACATAGCTATGTTTAAGACCTCATCTTGCAAAGCACTCAACATCCACAAACATTCTTAAGTCCACAGAAATCATGGGTCTTAGCACTTCACAGTAGCTTCTAGCACCTAGCCAGAGTGATCCCCTAGATGCAAGGGATGCTTTGTAAAAGCATCAGGCAAGGACAGATGACTTCGAATACCAAATCTGAGGCTGCAAATACTGACCATTTTCTCCTGCTTTCCCTTTATGATGGTGCTAGACAATGAAACATTTAGTTTTGCTCTGTGGTGGTCAGTCTTACAGAACTCACAAGTAACTTCCCAACATCCCTTTGCAAAACTTCCAGTTAACTGGTGAGAACACAAACCAAAGCTTCTCTCTCCCACCTGTGACTTTTTTATTCTCAGCTCTTCCTGCTTTCATTTTCCTTCATCTCAATTAAGTAATTCACCTTTTCCTTGTAATCACTATATTTGTAAGGCAAGCCAAAATAACCTGTAAGCATTTTCCAAACATAGGGAAAGCACAGTCTGTGTCTAAGAAACAAATGTACTGTACAGAGACACTCAAGAGATGAAAGGTTTGGGATGATTGACTGCGTTTCAAGAATATATCTGCCACTTCTCTGGAGAGATGAACTGATCTGTCCTAGAGGCAGTATCCCCATCTTGGAAGGATGAATTTCAAAATCTCCTTTTCCTTTCAGTTCTATCATGTGTTTCTTACTCGTAACTTTGATCCAATGGCCTTGTCCTCTTTTCTTCTCCTAGTGGCATTACTGGATTCCCCTACACAGGTTTAACAATTGCATCTGTCTATAGTAATGATCAATTTTGATTCAAACTGTAGAGTTTTAGGGCAATTATGCAGCCCAAAATGAACTCCAGACAAATATTAAAGCACGAAACTCTCTTTTCTTCAACAACGTTGTCAGGGCTGAAAATGTAACGGTGTAACCAGCAGGAAATACTCCAGAAAAAGATGTGTATCGCCTTTTCAAAAGCTTCACTTTCCCGCACTTCATCTCACCTGGGCTAAACCTCCAATCTCTTTGACGCAGACATAGAGCCTGAACAGGTCCAGGGGCTTCTTGCCCACAGCTGGCAGACTGGCCACGGGCGTGCCCCTCTCCTCCATGAACGTGAGGTACCGATCTACCCACATCTTGCGCTCCGGCTCGTTTCCTAGTTCATAGACTTTTGTGATCTTCTCTCCAGTTGTGGTAGAGGAACTTGATTTCTAAATTGCAAGAAGAAAAAAAAGAGTTGGGGGAAGGGTGGGAGGGGGAGGGAAAAGAAAGTAAGAAACTCACAACATTGAAAAAGAGAAGATGTCAAACAAACTAAAGCTATCACACAACAGTCAGGAATGAAGGCTACTAGTTCAGGCACAAACAGCACATTCTGTCCATATACGGAAAATTCAGCTTTTTAAATAAAGGGCCCAAACTCCCCATTTTCATATTTCTTTCACTGATCTGAACTTTGGATCCCAGAAGGCAAGTTTCTGATGTTGCCTCATGTCGTTTTAAGAAGAGGTACCTCTCACATAGTGCTTCTCATCCACTTATCTCAAAGTGCTTTGTAAGCAATAATTTGGGTAAAATTGAAACCAAGTTTGTCCCACACAAGTTTACATAATCCTAAAAACAAACCAAATCAACCCTCTCCCCTTTGTCCCCCAAAAGGGGCTAGAAAACCTGGAAGTGTTCCTCCAGAACAGGAATCGCACAAAAGTAACCTGAAGCGTGAATCATGGCAAACTAGTACACCGAGGAGTAGTACTCTCTTTAGAGGGTCACGAATTGTTATGCTTTACTACCTCTTCACACCACCACTGGCCAAAAAGCAAGATGAGCAAGAGTGTCTACCGTACAAGGAGACTGGTGGCAATACTCGTTGTGAACTGCCAATTAGCTGCCTGAGCCAATACTGCTTATGAATGGCTACTACTCTCCTCCCTTGAAAGAGGACAGAAGATAGCCATCTCACATGTCCTGCCTTGCAAAGAGAATGTGTATTACGACCTGGGGAAAACAGGTATCAAAGCTGAACCACTGCCAGGAAAAGCGAAAGAGGTGGAAAGAGCAGAATTCCCTCTCACGTGGCAGAAGGGCAGGAGTGAACCTGTTTTCCTGCTGCTATTTGGGCTTTACAGCTAATGAAAGCTCATGTTATCTTGATGCCCTTTTCCTCTCTACGTGGAGATGGCAGAAAGCATTGAGGCTGCTACACAAGCTCTAACTCCTCATCATACCTTTTCCGTGCAATGTAACCCTGTGAGCTGGGCTCTGTGCCATGTGTGGATGGACTACACCCCATCCGAGCTGCCGCTGATCCGGCAGCAGAGAGGGGCTGCTGCCACTGCAGGAAGACCCCCCTGCTTGCAGAAGGTGAAGCGATTTGCTCAGCAGTGGAAGATGGGAGCGGCTCAGAATTAAACACAAGAGAAAAAGATTGACATAAAGCTTTGGGAAAGGAGCTAAATATATGAAGGGAAACATATCCTTTATGTCTGCATAGTAAAATCCTCAACTTGGTTGTTGATTGCAGTAGACACTTCTTTAAACTCATCTCGTCAATCACACTTTCCCTCCTTTGCCTCTTCCTTACTTTGAACAGGAGACAGCTCTATTCTGAAGTAAACAGGAACTTATTTCTAGTTGAACATCTCTAAAGATGACCCTAGCTGTCCCTCGTGGATGCTACAGAACTACCCACTTCGTCCACGTCCCCACACAGCGCTGCTGAGGACTGGCACTAAACACCACGAAAGACGCAGTGGGGTAGCATCCAACTGCCAATGATTTTAAAAGCTTTGCCACCATTCATCTTGCATGTTAGCCTGGAAAATATGACAGGCTCTGTATCTGCCTCCAGCCACTAGCTGAAACTTGGCAATGCTGGAGGAGAGCCAGGAGAAAAGAGACGTGAAGCCAAGGGGGGTGACCCAGCAGTTCCATGAGCCATTGCTGTTCTTTCCAGTGAATGGATATTCATTTTAATTAAATAAATAGCCTCCTGTAAAGTCTCCTGCCTTGCCTCCTGGTACTGAAACTTCTTCGCAGTAGTCCTTCCTACATGCAGATATTATTACCTTTCTTACTTAGAAATGAGGTGCACTCCTGAATTTTACTTGAGCCAGATTCAGTTGTGTTACAACTCCTGCTGCTGAAGTCAGAGGCAAGGCTGAGTTTGTTTTACTAATACTAAGTGGCTGGCAGGAAAGTACTTTGACATAAGTCCTGCAGATCATGCAATGAAAGCACAAACTGATTCTGTAATGGCAACCGGTTCACTCTAAGCATCACTTGCTATGTATCTGAGTGTTTAAACCAGTTTAACTCTTTTCAACAAATGTACTTTGTCAAAGATTTTTTTGGGGGGGTGGGTGAAAGAGGGAAGGAGGCAAGTCATGTTGCTACTAATCTGGTTTTGTGGTGAGAACAGATATATGATCACATAGGCCTGAACAGCTGAATAAACTGGAGCCACCCCACTACCAACTGCAGTACCAACTTCCATATAAAAAAGTTACTCTACTGCTCATCAGCATTAATTTTAATCTGACGCTTATGATGCCATGGAACTCTAATAAAAATGAAGGGGGGAAAATTCAGCTTTTACCCAGCAAATTTTGTATGTGCTTAAATTCTAACATATGAGGCAACAAAATAGTTTCCATTTCACTTTTATGGTAGTTCACGATTAAGAACGTTCAGATTTACCAGTTCTACGTTTTCATTTTTATACGGTAAGACTCTCTTTTTCAAATCAGATTCAGAGCAGAATGGAAACCTGTTAGGAATTTTTCGTTCTGGGTTTTTCTACTATACATCTCAAATGATGCTGCTTTTCAGCAGTGTGGCAGCAGGCTCTAAAATGACAGTATAATCTGAAAACTTTTCACAGCTTACAGAAGGTAAGAAGTGTTTCTTACTGTGTGAGCTTTCAGGTTGTCATGCTTTGTAAAATGGGTGCAATTTTCTTCGAAAATGAAATGTTAACTTTAGAAGAATGCACTGGAGGGAAGAACGCTATTCCTCAAGAGTAAAGATCTTTTTCTCTTCTCTATTTTTATAAATGTAAACATATAAAAATGACAGATGTGTGCAAGCTAGTCTACACACAAACAAACTTCAGTGCCACATGGGCAAGTTCAGCTGGAAGCCTAAATTTGCCTACAGGTAAATGTTAACCCTCCGAAAATAAGGGTTTATTACAAAATGATCCCGTTAGCAGATTGTTAACTAAAATGAGCACATGCCAGGCAATGCTGGAAGAATACAGATCATAAGCGTTTCTTCTGTTAAGTTTGTTGATAATTTTGGTGATAAAAGAATGCTGGTGCAAGCCTGTGGCACGTACCTTTACTGATTTAGTTGTATCCTACTCTGCCCTCAGTCCCCAGCACTCTTCTACATGATATGACTGGCCATGTTTAAATGGATGATTTAAAAAAGGACACATCTAAATATGTGGCTACCAAAGCCAATTCTCATATTAAATTTCTCAAACCCCATACTTTATTTTCAATACGCCTACCACCCATTAAAACTGTATTTTACACAGACTCTTGTATGGCGAGTCTGCAGAATCCTTCAGAGCAACATAAATTTCTGTAGGAGTTCTTTTCACATTAAGGCAGTGGGTAGTTGTTTCTGTACATATCTCTAAGCATCTATATTTATAGAACTATCTACCGTTCACTTCCCCCAATTCAATAAAGAATTTGCTAATGTTACACTTATTATGTAGACCTATTTTACTACAGAACAGAGTGTGCATACACAGGCAGCAACAACTGCCGAAGTCCAGGCTCTGGCAGAGGCTTTTGCAGGACACAATCCTCTGTCAAGATTTCCTCCTGAAGGACCCTGCAGACCCCTCACAGCCAGCACCATGGAGATACAGCACTATTCAAGTGTATTCATTGTCACGCTCATGTGTACCTATGGACAGTGAACAGCATTTTATGGGGTTTTCATAACCTACTGTTTTATTCACGGTGCAGTGCCCCTGCATAGTTCACACCCACACTCTTTTAAAGAATTTAAATTCTCTTTTAAAGAATTTTAAAGCCACCTCGCCACTGTTAGGGATGCACAACTACGTGCAAAATCAGCATAGCAGAAGCGTTCTTTTACCCATGTACCCGAGGAGCCCTCCAAACATAACGTTCAATAATTCCTTCTCCACATTTTCTCATGCCTCACTTCCATATAAAACTGCTGAAAGAGAGGATCTACTTAGTAGGATCACAGGGACACTGTGAAGTGAATCACAGACCATTCACCCTTGCTTTTATCCTCTGCTGGAATGGAGAAGTTGTGGCACATGAAGCAGCTTTGGGATTTAATGAACAAATTCAGGCTGTTTTCAAGTGTAACGAAACGCCTGCAATCAATCGTTCCAGTCTATGTCAGGCTACTGTTCAAGTCGATGAAGTTATCCAATACACTGGCCTTCATAGGTAAAAAGTGATCAGCTAATTTACAGCACTCGTTTTTCTAGTGTTCCAACACACTGTATTTATCCGTATCTGTGTACCAAGAAGCTAACCAAAGCTGAAGATGCAGCAGCATTTGGACAAAAGAGCATTCAGAAGAAACTGAAAGCCCTGACTTCCTCCCTTTATTTTTCCCAACACTATACTTTCTCATATTTCCATGGAAAAAACTCCACATATGTTCACAATGGCTCTAGGATTTGTTACGCAGTTTATGCAATGAGCTCAGGAATGCATTATCATTTGGTAGCCTGGTAGAGGAAGAACTCGATGTGTTCAGACAGCCTGTGCAAGAACTCTCTTGCTTTCCGTCAGAAAACCGCCCAAACAAGCAATACCCCAAACATTACTACAAAGAAAACTAACACCGTTTTTGGTACCACCCTTTCAGAAATGCTGTTAAGAAAAAAATGAGATTTTGTGGGAACAAGTAACACCAGCTGCCTTCTGAGACTCAAAGTCGCTGCCAAATAAACATCAGAACATTAAGGTGGTGCATTTCATGCCATGCTGCCCCTCTGCTCAGGGGCTTCACGAGGTGTCTGCTTTTTGGGTGGGGAGACCTTTTTCACTCCAATTGGCCTTCCTCTGTTTGTCCTGAGACATACTCTTCAACGTATCGCTTTGTGAAAATTAAGTTGTTATCAAAGAATTGTTGCGATTTTAAGTGCACATTAACATCAGAAAAAACCCTTCATATTCCTCACAAAAATACATTGCGGTATCTTTCTACAGAGAAATTACGATCACCATTACTTTTGGTAAGGATAAAAAAAAAGAGGAACAACATACATTTTTATAATTCAAAAAAACAAAGCAAAAATGACCAAGTGGACATTTGCTCCCCATAGGCCATATCTGCTTATAATTCCATTCTCTTTTCTATATATCTATATAGGTTTTCTATGTGTGTATATATATAGATACACATATGATGAAATTTGTTCTTAGCGCCACGCATCTCTCTCAGGTTTTTCTGTACAACCTGTATGAGAATGACTAAGCATAATTAATCTAAAAAATAGTTTTCTAGAAACATACATGCATCAGGTTTTTTCCACCCACAATCTGGGTTACTTCAAAAGAACTGAATGAAGCAAATCAGAAACAGTTTTGGTTTAGACCGTGCCCCAATAGCCAAATGATTGTATTTCCAAATAACACAATTCAAAACTAAAAATGTTTCAAAAACACACATGGCAGCTTTTTCACGGTGCTGAGTCTACAATTCAAACTTTGATGGATCTTGGTTTCAATAGGGGAGAAGATTTCTTGGTTTTTTTTGGTTTTTCCCCTCAATAATCCTAGCAAAGACAAGTGCAGCAACCAGAGTGAAGTCAGTTGTGTGAAGGAGTTTGGGCCCAGGAACAGAAACGGAATTGTCCTTAACAACACAGTCGGCATGCTTGGAAGCTGATGCATTACAGGAAGGATGTTTTCTTCACAACAACTGCTGTATTACCAGACAGCACACTTGCATGATGCACGCAATTTTACTCTTTCTTATTCCAAAGTACTGTTGGGACAAATTTTGCCCTTGGATAAGCATGCTCAGGCCCCACTGAAGCCAGGCAGTGGAACTTACAGTCATGTGTCCGAGAGCAGAATTTGTACCCAGTGTTATAAAGAAAGAAAACTGTTTAGTGGATAAATAATGAAGAAAAGGAATTTACAAAACAAACAAGCAAGCATTAAAATATAATTAATTACAAAAAAATAAACAAAAACCAAAAAAACCAGAGCCACTTACAGGGCTTGATGGAGTCTTTGGCCAGCCTGGGCTGCTAATGCTATCACTTTCATCTCCATGAAATGAGGAGATGCTAGCAGAGCTTGGGGACATTGGGGAAGGGACTGGCAGGTTGCCTGGGGTTGGGGGCTGAGAAATACCCTGAGAGCTGTAGCTATCCTGTGGTAGAGGAATAAAAAAAAAATAATATGACAAAGGCAGGGCAAACTTTATTAAAAACAAAAAAAATACATCCAGTTTAACAGACTGACCAATTTTTATATATAAAATATATATAAACAGAGAGACACATACAGAAAACACACACATATATAAATATATTTATATATATATATAAAAGGTATTTAAACAACATTGTTAATTAGTATAATTTGGAAAGTTTGCTGGATGCTTGGCTAAAGTCACTAAGCCACCATGCTTATTTCAAGCTCACATGGAATGCTAAGCATGGGTTTCCCCTTATGAAAGAAAGAAAAAAAACAAGCTGTTCACCTTATTTTATCAAATAAGGCAGGAAAGCAAAATATTAAAGTATGTTGCTGCTGCTGAGGCGGCCAAAACAGGAAGCTATAACTGAAGGCAGAGAAAAATGGCTGCAAGTATTGAAACCAGGCAAGACCCTTCTTTCCCACCCACCTGGCACAGCTGAATCCCCACGCAACTTTTGGCTTGGGTTGCTTTGCCCCCGCAAGTTAAAATGCCGTAAGAACTAGTAACTTTCAGATCCACACAATGAAGGAAAAAGAAAAAAAAATAAACGAAAAGAAACAAACAAAGAGATTGCACGTGAATGGAAAGGCATGCAGGAAAGAACAGAAGTGGGTAGGCCAAAACCAGAAGATGAAGGACAACACAGCAGACTTCTGCGGGCCGGACCAACACCACGTGCGGAGGTGGTAAATACCTTTGACTTGCTCTCAGGTTGGGGGGGTCCTTCTTCTTTGCCATCTGCTTTGAGAGGAAGGGGTAGTTTGGACTCACCGGGTGTCATCATATCTGCAAGACCCATAGGTGCTAATCGAAAACAGGAGAAACAGTTAAGCATGACTACGTTTGGCTTTGTAGGAAAAAACACGCTTCCTGCTGCAAGACTGTGGCGCCGCGTGAAGCAGAGGTTATCCCACCTCTGTCCTGTTATTCTAGCGTCTGGAAACCTGGAAACCTCTTCAGTTGAAGTGAGGAAATAAAAGAGAACGAACGAGGCGAGAATACGAGCACCATGCAACAACAACAAGCACTTTACAAAGTAAAATTCATTCTTCATGCTGCTGGTGGCCTTCAACTGTGTCCACATTTGACCACTACATTTTAACAGAACAACAGTCTATTTTAATAACTACTGCACCCTCCCTTTAGCAACAGACACACGTAAATGAAAATGATGCACATTTTGCTTGCAATGTCGAACCCGAGAAAAGGGCTGAATTTCCCAGTTACATCTGTATTAAGGTTGGTGCCCAGCAGATAATTCCTGCCCCTACTGACTTCAGTATGAATGGCTCAGCCACTGTGAGCCTTAACTACAGAATTACAAGCTGTAAACTCCACTCTGTTGGGGAACCGGCACTCAACTTCTTCCCCTCCTGCCAAAACGAGGTGGGACTACAACGAATGCACAAATGTCTTTCTCTGATACAATGGCACGCCACTGCTTCCCAGGGGTGTGAGGAGTTTAAGGGTTTTTTTATTTGAAGATGCAAGTGCTAAGTACAGTATTATTGCTGCAGAGCCGCTGGGCTCCTGGATTTCTAGAAAGATGCAAGGAGAAACATTCAGATAAATAGACAGAAAATACTGGGCAGATCAGATGCTAGAAGGTGCCATGACACTGAATCAATGCAAATAACTAGAGAACAACAGCAAGACGCTAGGTGATTCTTTCCCTGCAGAAAACCACGTGCACAGCACTTACAAAAGACTGGATTATCTTCCCTTCCTCTCCCTTTTTTCTCCTCCTCATGCCCTTCTTTCAAAGAAGGATCTGAGGTAGGAAAAACATAGGATAGAATAAGCTACAAGGCAATAAAAAGGAAAAAATACATATCCCAAACTTACAAATTTTAAGAATCGGCAAAGCATCACTGTTAAAAAAAAAAGTAAAAAAACCTGATCATTACCAGACTAGTGTGCCTCTCTGCAAAATGACAATGCTGGCTTGCACTAGGCAGCAGGCACACTGCATAGCAAGCCAAAGAGAGGAGGGGGAAAAGAAGCTTTAAAAATACTTCACAGATTGCCCACTACAAAATGATTATTGCACATATTCATGTATTACTATGTTTTAGAAAATAATTAGTTTTAATTACAGCAGTGAGAGCACGAGCAGGACTCTGGCGAATACGCTGGCAAGCTTTGCAGTGCTAATTTGCTAATATCTTTAGCATCACTGCAGGTTGAGACTATGGGTCTGCCAAAAAAACCTACCCAGCCATGTGCCATGTGAGTTTACAACTGTATGCTCAATATTCAGCTTTGAACTGCCGGTGTTTTTCATGGGCACATTTTCTTGTTTTTTCAAAGCACATTTGTAGCCCAATCAAGCCCTTAAAGTCATCACAACACATAAATCATAATTGAGATTTAAAAAAAAAAAAAAAATTACTTGCAATACTTAAGACTTCAAGAATTGGAACAAAAGCCTTTTTCAAGTGATGCAGCTGCAGAGAAAAATCTATTGGGATCAGCTAAAAATGCTGTTATTTTTATGTATGTGTGTGAAACCTCAACAAAACAGCCAAGCAATATGACACTGGGAAGCCAGCATCCACTAAGCATTTGATTTGTATGCATTTTGCCCTTATACTCTGTTTGAGGAGTTGGGGCAGCTTGTGACCATTATGAAGTGAAGGATGGCAGCCTAACACATTTTAGTTTTGAATCCCACAGTTAAAAAAAACAACTTATTTTTCTTTGAAGAGATTTTTTAAAAATATATGTAAAAAATGGTCAAATGTATGCCACAGTCTGGTTTCAAACTGGGATGCACAACTGTTATACAAAATCCATTCTAACAGTTAACACATTTCGTGCTGTGAAAGCGCTAAAAAAGAAGTCTTAGTTTTAGTTTCAAAGCAACCAAAGATGACCCTTCCCCTCTAAAGCAATTTTAGAGAGGTCAAACAATGCAAAGTCAACAATCGCGCTTCTTCACCAGAATCCTGCACGGCTAAATCCTTTGCTGATACCTCACTGTTATCTAGGTTGGCACGTCATATTTCTGTTACAAAGTATATAATAATTGTGTCCACTCCTGGCAGTCCTGCTTCCATCAGAATACCTTTATAAAATCTCTTTTCCACAGAGGTTTAAGTTAACATCTCTTGTAAAGGGCAAGGGACTCTAGTCTGCAAATTACCTCATGTATTCTGACTGTATTAATCATGTTGAGAAATGTAAAAATACACATTCATTTTGGCTTCTGAATATTTCTTGTTGTCATATGCAAATATAACTATCAGGAGTTGGAGACAATTATGAAAAAAACAATAGTTTCCCAAATTCTGTTTCACTTTTTGTTCTAAATTATTTACTTCACCAACATCCTTCCTTTCTACCTATAAGAGAACTGCAAGGACTTTACTAGCAAATTGCGAGCTTGTCTAGGTTCCCTATAGCTTTTACCTACGATGTTTCCACAGCTACTTTTCTATCCACTGTTGAAATGCTGTTTCATAACTTCTTGCAAACGTACTCTCCAGCGATTTGCAAACAGACATTCCTTCACTTTTTTTAGCAAAGCGGTACAGCAAAAACATTGTTTTGACCCTTTCTGAGCAGTGAAATACTGTTACTGTCACAAAACTGCTAAAATAAGACACGGTCTCTTTCTACACAGGTACTAATAATTCTGTGTGTGAAGTGCAGACCAAAGGATAAAACATTTTAGAGAGGAGGATAACAGGGAGATCTTGACTCAAAAAGTGTTGTAGCGTGCTGTGAATAGGTTTCAAGTACTAGCCTCTGGCTTATTATGTGAATTTAAGAGCTAGAATGATTTCAAAAAGCAAGTATGGGTCACGGTCCTGAATTAACTATTCCACACTGAATTTAATGTACTCAAAGGCAGATATTGACATGAGTAAAACTGCAGCAAAGTATTCTTTTTTGCTAAAGGCTGCTCTATCAGTCCCCGAAGATGATGAAATACTGTAGGAGCAGCAATACACAAACATTGTTTTTCTCTTTATTGCTAGTGCAGTAACAAATCACGCTCTACAAAACAGAATATTACATCCTTTGTAAGACATTCCTTCGTCCCTTCCACCCCTAGCACTCTCCCTCCAAAAAAAAAAAGAAGAAAAAGAAAAAGCAGCGAATTTGTGACTCATGTGGAGCTGGCAAGAGGATCCCCACTGCTTTTATGCCCACAGGAGAAACGGAAGAGGGACAACAGCATTGCCGAATGTGCCGCCACGAATGACCGTCCGCCTCTGGGGAAAAGCACAGCCCAGGGCGGTCAGGCACCTTAGCTGAAAGGGACGACTGGGCCACCAAGGACCTCAGCGCCGCATCTCCTTTCTTCCTACCAAGTCTTGTCCGAGGGATGACAAGCGCATGCGGTTTGGGACGCGGGCATCTCTGTGCCAGGAGCAGGCTTGATTTACAGTCATGCTATGACCATTGGATCACGGTCATCGCTTGTTTGGCGTACAGGTGATGGGATACCTCAGCTGTTACCAACTGCTGACATCCTCCAGAAAGATATTTTAAATGTGCATTATCTAATAGCTCATAAGAAGACATGCGTTAGAGCAAAAAAATAGTGAAATAAATGGAGGTTTCCATCTTTCAGAAAAATGTAACCAAGCTGCAAACCAGAGAAAACCAATTAAGATTTCTAAAAAATGCTTCACATTCATATGATTGCTTTCTCTATCAGAGGTTCATCCAAATAAATACAAAGTCAAATATATATAATATATATGAAAAGGTAAGTGTTGTATCTATTTTTAATGTTATTTTTAGAAGTATCCTTTTAATTCTTTCAGTGCAAATAACTTTTCCTAGAACTTCATGTTTTATGTAAAGTCTTACAATGTTAAAAATTCGTTGGGAAGAGTAATACCCAGAAAATGGAAGGTTTCAGTAGGACAAAGGTAGTGAAATTAGGAAAGGATCCTTGTGGCAGGAAGGAGATCAATGCCTTTTTATCGTTTTGTTCACCTCCAGAGGTAGCAGAGATTATGAGTGCCAGTTTCTGTGCAAGCACAATATGGAAATCGGTGAGATCCAAACTCCATATTACTATTTTTAAAGATAATTTTCACTAGAATTAACAAGGGTCACAGCATGGAATTGTTTTATTTATGTTGGGTTTTGTAAGTTTCCTTTTATTATATGTATTTTTAAAGCCTGAATTTAAAAAAATAGGGGGAAAAAATCTAAAATATATATGGGAAATGTGAACTCATATAACAAAAGGACAGTGGAGATTAGACAGTTTTTCTGAATGCCAGTTTGTTCCATAATTGTGAAGGGATTCTGGCAGTTTTTCTTGAAGCTTTTGTTATGGTTATGGATGGGGTACTCTATCAGAAGGATCTGTCTTCTTTGATCTCGTAATTTCTCTGCTCCTAAACTGCTCGACATTAGCAGAAGCTGGCAATCTGTTGTTTGACCCACAGTCACTGTTGAAGTACCAGGATGCATAACTGCAACACGATTTTCCTTTCAATTGTGACATTAATTAAAAAAACTAAAGGGAAAAAAAAAGGGATCAACTGGTATTAAGGAGTTATAAATACTACTAAAAACGTGTGGCAAAACCAGTGTTATACTTAGCTGTACTAAAGCTCCAAAACCATAGGAAAACAATTCCATCAGCATCAGCAATCTTCCTCTATTTTAGAGTAAAACCTAAAAGTGCATTTGATTAAAATGAATATAACCAAAACCCACCTTCCTCCCTCAAAACAGGCAACACAAAACTCCAACACCCAGACAACCAAGAAACCAACTTCTCCCTATTGCTTACCTTAGTTTTCCATTGGCCTCTAACTGAAACCACAGCTGTTTACGCTCAGTGCACGTGCTGCACTACTGGTGCCCACACTTCACTCCAGCAGCAGCCACTCAGTTGCATTTGGTTTTGGCCCTACACATTGACTGACCCCTGGCTAATCCGACAGACGTGTGACTTTACGCTAGCGGGGGAGCGAGGGGAAAGGCTGAAGAGCCAGATAGCTGAACTGGTCTTTGCATCACAGAAAATGCCGTTTCCAAGCCCGTAAGTAGGTATCACCTGCAAGTTCTCCACCTCATCAAATGCAGGGCCAGAGCTGGCCTTGAAGCGCTCCCCCAGCTCAAGACATTATCATTTTAAGTACTGTATTTACACTTGTCTTAAGCTCAGCCTTTCATTTCTTTGACCAAAGCAGAAGGATGAGTCAGGATAGGGGGAAGCGCAGCATTCCCGCGGCATGGGCCCCCAGCAGTATATTCATACCTGACTTTCTCTTTTTGTTCCCCCTGTACCAAACACTGGCTGTGTGCTCTTGGAGGCTGGCTGCATAAAGCAATCTCGATGCATGCCTGCTCACACACAGAGGAAAAGAGGTGCGCTGAACTCCTCTAGTTCATCTCATACCTACTTTCCATTGGGTAATCTTTGAATTAATGAAACTGGAACAAAAGAAAACCTCACAAGTGCACTGGCAGAAAAAACCCTGATAAATGTTTAAATTATTAAAAATCCAATATTTCAGAATGCATAACACAATAAAAAGAGTATGACTACCCCATACAAAAGACTGCTAGGATAAATGGCCTTGCATTGAACAGATTTCCACTGTATGAAATAACGAATGGCTGAATTATCTGAACAAAAAAACCTCTGTGAATCTTCCTTTAAACTGGTTATTCCTTAGGAATACATAAATCTTCTTAGGCAGGGCACTCTGCCATCTGTTTGCTGTTGGTTATTTTTGCAGCTCTGGGGGCCAAAGGAAAAGGGGGAAAAATTACTTCTGCTAATAGCAAAACAGAATTTATAGCACAGTTTCAATGCTCAGAAGTAATTTTATTTCAGCAAGCCAGACAAAACGCATAACTACACAAACAAAACATAATATTACCTGGGACAGCTCTGTGGGGGAAAGGCGAGCTATCATCTAATGGTTTGTTCAATAGCTTTTCCCTCTTCATCCAGACAGTGAAGTGTGCTGTCTGGACTAACCAATGGCTTCCAAGCCAGCACTCGAAAAAGCCTGTTTTTTGGGTTTTCTTTTCCTTTCCTTTTTAAAAATCTTACTGATTAACAGCTTCCTTTCTGTTTCTTGCACTAACCAAAACCGTAACATAATATTCTTGAAAAATAAGACAATGTTAAGTGTCTCAGGAGCTCCTATGCAGAGGAAAGAAACCCTCTGGACCTACTAGACACTGGAATCTCACAGTGGCCGTTTTCTGCCCAGGAAGCAGGGACATAAAAAATTGACAGGGAGGAAAGACAGGGAAGGAGGCAAAGGATGAAGGAATGAAACAGGCTAAGCGAGGCAAAGAGGAAGATACCGAAACGCAGGCTCTTGGTAAGATACAATTTAAGTAGTAGGGCATCTCCAAAGAAATAAACAAAGGCAGAAACATAACCAACTAAGAAACAACATCAAATTGGCTTAGCACAACCTATCCAGCTTTCAGAAAAACTTCCAAAACCCCGACGTTTCAAAAAGGGCTAATGTAATCAGTAAAGCATGCACAGAAACTCCATCACTGGAATAAGTATTAGGGAGGATCCACTTCAGGGTCATTGAAACTCCATCCAAACCCACCCCAATCAAAGAATTGATCTTTACTGAAGTATTATCTTGATGGAGGATAATTATTAGGAGTTCAAGCTGAATATGGACTATAAAGCACATCTGCACAGAACTACATTCACCTGTCCTCATAGTCACACACAAAGCTGCAAATAATTCTAAATTCACAAGTCATGATATGAAGGATAAATCCAGCAGCTACATTGAATATGCTTTTTTTTTTGCAAAAGGAAGCTATGATTAAATTTCATATACTGATACTTAAATAAGCAAATGAAGAAACCCTATATATGGTTATATGAATTTTGGAAACAGTAAATATGGCCTATGTTTTCAGAAAAGAGTAATTATTTTAAGTGCTCAACTTACAGCATCTTCAAGTCAGAGCAGGTGCACATCTCTTTTTTTAAACCAGTACCACGTTAAATATCTGAAATTGCAATCTTGGGAAGTAAGACACTGAAAAGCAACAGCAGCCTCTTAAAAGATGAGGTTTTTCTCCTTCCTCTCTTGCAGCCACATACACACAAATATACATATACTTGCTAGTCAACACCTATGTCAAACTGGGTCCAAGCGTTGCTGGAACTGTTCAAAACATGGTACTCATCTACATGCTGTGCAAAAGGCCTTAATGAAAAACGTATGAGTTAGTATACAAAAAAAATGCGAATACCTTAGCCTAGTTTCGAATCACTCCACACTACCCACCAGGGGTGAATCAAATGAAGGCGGCTATCCCTCTGCCACCAGCCCAGGGCTGGTACCGTTAAGCAGATTTACGGAGGAAGGCCACTGCTGAAAGGTTACCCCCCATTACCTGTTGAACTGTTCACCATGTTAGGTGCCATGCTGTAAGGAGGAGCCTGCGGGTTCATCAAGCCAGAGCTGTTGTTCATCGGCTGGGTGTAGGGGGAGCTGGATCCCATAATACCGCTCTGATTCATGGCAGGAAAATTGCCTTGCCTACGAGAAGAAAGAGCACACACACGATGTCTCATTACGTACCTCATTGCTGAAGATGCTGTGGTTTGTCACAGAGTACATCTCCTATTGTTTGCAAATAGCTAAGGAGAAGACAAGCAATTAGTTCATTTTACCTACACGGGGAGCTTTGAATTAGTCTTGAATTAGTTACCGTATATCTGAGACAGAATTGGACTAGAACAGAAATTTCAAGAGCTCTATCCAGTGTCTTTATACATCACAACCAATCAGCAGAAAAAACCCAACTCATATTATTTATCCTATGAGTAGACAGCAATGTGATCAGGAGTCAAAATTACAACCTAGCGCTGGCATAAAAAAATTCCAGTGAATCGCAATTTTGACCATATAATAGAAATCCTTACCTGCCATAGCTTAAAAAAACAGTGAAATGACCAGAAGAAAAATGGGTACCATAAAATCTGTTTCAGATTTCTGTATCTGATGTTATCGCATTGAATACAATGTTCATATTCTGCACATTCCATCTATGTCCAACCTTTCAAAAAACCACATACATACTACACTTTGTTGAAACAAGAAACCTCAGCAGAACTATTTTGGTTTTGAAAATTAATCAGATATCTGTATAATGCTTTCATAACTGAGACTTAAGTTTGCCTGAAAAACTGCCCTGAATGAAGCCCTTACCTAATTCTCCACATCTTCAGATGTGAAGATCTTCAGACCAAATATTTTTGAAGGCTAACCCTTATCTACTCTTAAGTTCTAAAAAGTATCTAAGCACACTTTGTACCTGATTTATCAAATTCTATAAATAAACTGAGGCACAAGGAAGAAAAGAATCTAATCCAAGTAAGCAGAATAACCTGATGCAATGCATGATCCAACTTCAAAAATAGCCTTTTATTCTTTTAATCCATAACACAATTATCTACCTTTTCTTGGTATAGTTGAAGACTGCACGTATTATTATACGTATATGGATATAGACTTATACATATAAACACATGCAAAAATATACTTACTTGCATATTCATAGCTTACATAGGAAAACACAAACCTCAGACCTGTGTCTTCAATGTACTCCCTGTAAATTTAGGCTGTTTTCCAAACAAAGGAGACAAGAAGGAAGCAACCACCCCTTCACATAGCTTTGGGACCTGTCAGCTCTCTTACTCACAAAAAAGAAGGCATTTAATTTTATCCCACAGGCCCGGAAAGCTGCATGTCCTGGTAGCAAGCTGGAGTTTTGGTATAAATTCTACTTTTCATTATTACACAGTATTCAAACAAAACAGACAAGCCCCAAACCAACAACCCTGAATAACTTCAATGGCTTCTTGTCTTCTCCAAACTCATGGCAGATTCTTAACGCGATTGGTAGAAACAGATTTCTTTTTTAGGAGGAAGACCATTAAAGCACTATTTGGCCTAATTTTTCTTGACACATTGTGAATTTCTTCAAAGGAAAAGAGAACGTGTTATCTAAATAAAGCATCTTTTTCCAAGTCAGTTTTGTCCTTTGCTCTCTGAAGACAAACTTTTCTTCACTCTTGCAAAGAGGCACAGGCTTTCTTTTGATATGAAGGAGACAACTGCCATACAATGTCATTTCCCTGATGAAGCTTGCAATGAGTAGTGGAGGGAAAAGATTTAAAATGCACAGTGGTGCAATGCTCCAAGGGAAAATTACAAAGGGAAAAGAGAAGAGCAGGACCATTTGGCAACGGCTTTAAAAGATTTCAGTCACACAACCAAGCTTTTCTTATGTAAATACTGTACCTTAAACACCCCCACCCCCCCTTTTTAGCTGAAAATTGCTATATTTCAACAAATGCGGTTAACCGAAATGTTATTTCTATGCTGGAAAAGTGAGATCCTTTCTATTACTGGGTGAAGTTACTAGCGAAGATGAAGAAAGTGTGCAAGTGCATTTTTACACTTTAAAAAAGAAGTAACAGATTTTGAAAGGTTCTTTTACAGAGTAAGGCTGGGATTCTGGAAAAGACAGAAGTCTCTACAGGTCTCTATGTCCACAATGTCCTTTTGCTTTAAAAATACACAGGAGACACGCACCTTGCAGGTAAGCCGAAATTGGTCCTTACCTACTAATATTTCAATACGATTACTTCCTATAGCATGTATATCTTCTAAGCTGTGGGGCCGTTCATTGTCTCAAATCGAGGTACAACCTATTTCATGTTACCCGCTCTGGACATCAATCTCAATTGTAGCTCATGAAAGCATACTGCTGTACAACAGCTTTAAATCAAAAAGTAGGAAACTATTTCCAGTTTAGACGGAGAGTGGAAATTAAATAAAAGGAATATATTAGCTTTGGCCAGGACAGCAAGAAAACAACTGAAGTCTAAAAAAATTGCTTTTCTACCCAGAAAGACCTGAATGGCAGAACCTAATTCCGAAATTTCATCTGGCAAGGCAATACCTTCCCTTTCATCCTCCCGTGTAATGCCGCACTTGGAACGGCCACAGCTCTCCGTCTCTGGAAAAAGCCCAGCAAGTGAAAAGACTCAGCACCGTCCCTGGCAGAACTCTGTCCTTCCCTGCTCCCCTATCAAAGGCACTGGCCGCAGCACGCGTGAGCTAATTCAGCAACGCTGAAAGGCGACATCCTGTAAGAGTAAACGTTATTTTATCCGGAGATTGGGTGCAGTGCGCAGTACAGAGCTCCTCCGCATATTATTCTGCTCTATGATGGCTTGGAATGGAAAGTTTCTTTAGGGAGAAATAATCAGGTATTACTTCAGCCTTTAATTCTCACTCCACAGTGGGCCTCCTTTGAGTAAAGACTGCCGACTGTGACAAATTGTGCTGCATCAGTGCTATAATATGAAGTGGAGTCCATTAAGAACTGAGCTGAGATCACCAAACTCATTTTGATTAACCTCCAGGTCACTAAACACTTATAAATATGTTACACAGCAGCTGCTAAACATATTTATATATGCTTAAGGTCACAGCATCATCTGTTGGTTGTTGGAGTTAAGTCAAAAATCTTACGTTTCCTTCTGTGCTGCTCTTAGTAAAGGCATATCCAACACACTATTTAAGAAGTAGTTATCTCAAAGCATACTACCATGCTTTCTCCTACATCTCCCAATTCCCTCCTCCATTTTTCTGGGAGCCTAAATAAAAATCAAGTCTTTTAAAAACAGTCTGCTGTACACGTAGTGACATCTAATGGCAAAAATTCAACTGACCGGCTATGAATTCTGCAGCAGAACCAACCCAGTTAAGTATAGGATTTTACAGTATTTACCACATGAACACCAATGGCTGGGTTGCTTAGGGATGATGCAAGTGATAATTAGGAATAATAGGAAGAAATTAAGAAAAGAAACACTTATGTTGAGTATAATGAAAAAATGTCTTCATGGTGAGATGCAGTTACCCTCCAAGGGAATGAAGGGAACCCCAGTACTTGATGCTTCTGCACACAGACAACACATTAGTAAACATACTCGTCAGAGAAATCCTGCGTTACCTATGAACTAGATGACCTGTCAGGTATTTTCCAGCTCTAACTCCTCCAATACCAGCATCCCAGATCACATATTTTTCCCCATTCAGAAGAAAAAGCAGCTGGGCCAAAACAAATTTAGGATAATGCTATCAATTTAAACACTGTACTTAAGCCTACACATTTCTTTTTTCTGCTTTACTGCTACAAGTAGATCTCCAAGTATTCAGCAAATGGAAGAGATTAAAAATGGGAAGGGGGGGAATCTGCTTGCTTTCTGTGGTTTATTTACTCTGTTGACAATTTAGTAATTCACAGCGCGTGCATAATGTCAGAGCCAGTTGTTACGCTCGAGGAAAGGGCTGCCACCCAGGGGGACCTAGACAGGCGGGGGGAATGTGCTGACAGGAACCCTGTGGAAGTCAACAGTGCAGGGTCCTGCACCTGGGAAGGACGAGCCCCCTGCCGCGGTGCCGGCTGGGGCTCGGCTGGGGGGAGCAGCTTTGCTGAAGAGCCCCTGGGCATCCTGGCAGACAGGGAGCTGAGCGTGAGCCAGCAGAGTGCCCTGGCAGCAAAGAGGGCCAACACCACCCTGGGCTGTGTGACCAGGAGCAGAACCAGGAGATGGAGGGAACCGATCATCCCCTCCTTACTTGGCACTCGTTGGACTTCATCTAGAGTATCATGTGCGTTTCTGGGTCCCCCAGTAAAGGAAAGCTGATGATAAACTGGAGTGAGTTTAGCAGAGGGCCCCTTAGATGGTCAGGGCTTGAGCACTCACCCTGGAGGGGCTGAAGGATGAGGGCTAGTTCAGCCTGGGGCAGAGACAGCTTTCCAGAGGAACCTAAGAGCAGCCCCCCAGCACCTCAAAGGAAGTCAGCAAGAAGATGAAGCCAGGCTCTTCACAGTGGGGTATGGTGGGAGGATGAGACACAGCAGGCAAGAGTCAAAACATGAGAAGTTCAGACTGGATGTAAGGAAACCCTTTTCCCAGTGAAAACAGTCAGGCACTACATCTGGTGGCCCATAGAGGTTGTGCAATCTCTGCCCTTGGAGGTTTTCAAGACCCAACTGGATAAAGCCCTGAGCTCTCAGGTGAGCCTGCTGAGGAGGAGGTTGGACCAGAGACCTCTTGAGCTTCCTTCCAGTCTGAATGACCCTATGATCCTAGACTGTCAGCTTCATTGTGCTGTCGATAGTCTGGTGTACTATTGGGTCCAAAATACAACTGGCTAAATTCAAAACATTCCCTTTTAAGACGGTCCTGTTCTGCTCTTTTGTTTTTCTTCATTTGCAATCTACCCGAAGCTTAATCTGCACTTAATCTCTTTTCTCTGCAAAACAAGTAGCATCAGATCTAATTGTGTCTTCTGAGCTAATGCAGAAGTCCATGTATTTAAAGACAGGAGCTGACATGCGAGATCTGGTCATCGTTAAAAAGCAGAACAAAGAAATCGTAAGAAAGAAGAGCACTGACAATACAAAGGAGCGCCTGAGTGATCCCAGCTGCCGAGCAGTGTCTCTTACACTGCGA